TGTCTTTCTGATGCATAGCAAGTAATTGCAAAGACCATGCATGGCCTTGATCAGGTGCACTTTAGTCTCTAGATTGCCATTGTTACTTCTCAGTATTCTAGAGAGGTCCCTGAGTGCAGATTTTCCCATTGCAATTCATCTTTTGATTTCCTGACTGTAGGTGCCAAGGTGTTGATTGTGGAGCCACGCAAGCCGTAACTGTTAACAATCTCAATCTCTTCTCCATCTATCAAGGTGCTGCCAATTGGTCCACTAGTGAGAATCTTCATCTGCTTGATGTTGAGCTTCAATCCATATTGAAATCTATAGTCCTTGACCTTTTGCAGCAAGCACTTCCACAGGTTGTTGATAAGACTTGCTCCAATCCTGATGCCACATTATAATTTACAACCTTGATAACTCCATGGAAGGTTGCTATATGAGTTAGAATTGGCTCAATAGCAATGAGTTTGAGGTTTTGTTTGTTTGGCATTTCTTTAATTTTCTTTCTTAGTTTCAGTGAATATAATATGGTTTATTATTGGGTACTTATTTGCATTTTCATCATATTTTAGAATGATCAACTTTTAACTAATTCATTGTTCATGTTTTTACTTTCATGAAATTCCTGTATTTATCAATGCCTCACTTTTCTTTTGGGCTATTTTACTTACTGAACTGTGCTCTTAAAATATTATGAAGATTAATCCTATAAAGATTAGAGAATTACTAATACCTTTTTGAGGCATGTAGCTAACAGAAGTTCTTGATTTTAGTATAATTGTGCCTGTTAACATTTTCTGAAGAAGATAATTATTTGAAGCCCTCCAAAAGTTGGCCATTTCTTTTGGGGTTGAGAGACAATGTAAAATTCATCACCAAGGCAGAACAACAGTAATAACCTTTAACAGAAAGAAAATTCTTAGCATATGATGACTGGTATTTGAAAACCTTAATAAAGTAAGATACAGAAACAAAGAAACTTTACTAACCAGTTACCTCCATAGCTAACCTGTCCACACAGGTATGCCATAAATTCTAGAAAGGATTTGAAACTAGCTGTCCTGTCTACATCATAGTGCTGTAGCAAGGTACAAAGGAGAGTTTGCAGCTAATCAATAACACACAAATATTAGTATTGTTGAGGTTACATCCCAAAGAACCTGACACCTAATAGGTTTATTGTAAAATGCATTTTGAACGAGTTTTCATGGTAACAGGGATTGACAGAGAACTTTACACAGACAAACAGAACATGACGAGTGTCATGAGAAGTTTCAAGTCAGTCACAATAAAGCAAAGAAAAATCAGGCTCCACACCTATAAAATGATAAACTCATTGCAGGTGATGAGGTGAATACACATTGACAAGGTGGATTATGAAGAGTATCCCAGGGCAAGGATCAAAATCCTCGGGTTTTACTTTATGCAAAGCTCTGCCCCTAAACAGCTGTGTGATCTTAATCAATTTAGTTTCTCATGACTCATGCAAAAGTTAGAGATTTCATAAAAAAAGTCATGTGGTATAATTCACATAATGCAAGAAATCTGAAGATCAAAGACTCTGATGATGTTTAAACAAAGTATTGCTTTTACTCGACAGGATGAGTTAACAACCTATCATATTAAAAAGAAAAGTCCTTTTTTAGTTAGGAGTGAACTGGGGTGGGGGTGGAGGAGGGAGGGATATTAAGAAATAAGATGCCAAAAATATAAAAATAACTTCTTTAGAGCTCTATCTAAAGTCGACCTGCTCGTGAAAAGAAAATGCACACATACTGTGGTGCGGGAACAAACAATATGGTAATGAGGAAAGTTTTCATGGGAGGCCATCGTGTACAAACTGGAATGTGAACTTCACCCTCATCAGTGCACAAAGTCAAACTGAGGAATAAAACCCAGATCCAGGGTCAGAATTCAAGGTGTTCTTGTGTAAATTACAGGAGTCAATGGGAATTAAAACTAAAACAAAAGTAATAAGGCAGTAAACTAAAAAGGAAAAAAAGAAATTATGTCCATAGGAAATGAGGAAAGATCAGTTGTGCATTGTCATATTTAGAAACTCCTCCTTGGAATAACAGAAAGCTTATAAAACATCCAAACAATAATATAAAATTGGACCAGAATATACACAGAACCCGTTCTATATGCTACTATGCAATAAGCCCAGATTTTGCTTATACAAAGGAGCTACCTCGTTGGAGGGGGGAAGTAGAAACTTAGAAATGGCTCTGAAGAGAAATATCAAAAATGATTCCGTGGTGGATAATTTCTGTTTCTGTAGTTCCCGAGTATTTACATTTCTAAGGAGCACATGATGATGAAGATGCTGCTTCAGAGAAACTGAGCTTATTCAACTTTCTGAAAGGCTGCCAGCTTGCTTCTCCAAAGCAGGTTGTAACGTCAGTGAGACAAAAGATGGATTTTCTTAGACTGGAGATTATTAAATATATGTGAGGTTTGCTGTTTATATTAAATTGTCCTCTGAAATAATCTTTGTAAACAGAGCAGAATCTTAATCATGTGAGTAACTTCAGGCCGTCCTATTTGAAAGTAGATTATTAGTAGCATAGTAGTTGTTGTTGATTGCCTTCGAGTTGAGCACGACCCTATGAACAAAAGGCATTTATCAAAGTTCATAGAGCTTCTGGAGGCATGTTGTTTAGGAAGTAGTTGCCACTCCTGCTTTTGAACCTGTCCTAAACTGGGAGCTCCAACAAACACTGTC